TTTATAACTCGGAATGTCTTCGGCGGTAGCCACACTAGAACTCGAACTCGAACTGATCGATACGCACTGTGCATCCACTTATATAGCTGCAGTGCTTGCCTGTGGCGTAATGAGTGCCACGTCACAGTAGGACGTTGATTACGGTTACGTTAGCGTGGCGCGTTACGTCACCGCGTGACGTCGCCGCGGAGGGGAGTGGGAGGGAGCGCTTCGTTACCGCCACGCACCTGTGGCCTGAGTCGCCACGTTGCTGCTGGGTAGGGAGGGGGTCTCCGTTCCGCAACATGTTACAGTATTTTCTGCATTTGCATTCAAGATGACATTTCTGAAAATGAGGATTAAATAAAATACTAAGCTGTGATACAGATTTCATGTAGGGATTGGATTTTTGTTCATTAAATGTGGGTAAAAGACTAACATAAGAAACATTAATTTGGGGAAAATTATACACTACGTACATGTAGCTTTTGCTGTGACCACAATATATAAAGGAAATATATGGAATCTTATACTGAGATACCTTAAACTGGGATTCTACTTTAACACTATTTATCTTAACTAGATATATCATACAGTGTTTTGTTTTGAGTTTACTGTTCGTTAGTTTTGCCAATTTGAATTCAACAGTATGGAATTTATTGTCTAGCCAAGAAACTACTAGCATTTCAAGGACTCTGTAGAATTAGCTATTCAATTCTGACCCTTTGTTACTTTAAATTGGGAGGTCATTTCATTTAAAATACTATAATACATATTTCAGTATAAGTGTGGTGGAAGACACTTAATATGTATTATACTTTATTCTTATTTACGTTTAACAGAGAATATTGAACTACATTTTTCATACATTATCTGTTGACATTAGTTTTTCCACCAATAGTTTGTGGCATACAAGTGAAAGATGTAATAGCACTGACATTGCTAAATACTGTATGAATGGCATTTGCTTCCAAACAACTTTGGCACTGTTACACATTAGAGAAGTATGCCCATTACAGACACCAAAGACTTTTACAGCATCAAATATAAATCCTTACCATATTGGACATCTGTCTTTAATTCTGATACACTGGATATTGAAGATCTCCTTTTTCGTGAAGGTTCATTATTCTGCTTGCCATGTTGTACAGAATTTTTGATTGGTGAAGATCCATTATTCTGTTTGCTACGTTCTACACACTTTCTGATTAACTGTAGGTCATCTTGTATCACATGAGACAAAGGTACTGGTGTAACACCTGAAAGCCCACAAATTAAAAACCATCATTTTACTTTTCCAGTAATCCTAATTGCCATTATGTGTGCACCGGTGTAATGTGCAGGCACATGGGCACTATTCCAAATCAACGTTACCACATTTTTACATGTTCCCATGAATGACTATAAATCTTTCTAAGGGGCTGTGATGTATTGTGCTTAGTTTCTCAAAATGTCTGTCACATAGCATTCCAAACAGAACACGTAGCTTGGGAAACTGGGCGTGTTTGTCTTCAAGGTGAAATGCAGGGAGGCCACTCAATTGGACGTGTTAGAAAGGGCTATTTTAGACACCGGACCTTGTGACTGAGATTAACTTTTCTAACAGACTCAACTGCACATGTCCGATGAGTTTATTTAGGTCGATCAGTTGGTATCACATCAATTCTACTTAAAATCTAAAGGTGGGGGGGGGGGACATCACATGTATGCATGCATGCATGCGCACATATACAGAGAAGATTCTCATTGCATGGAGAAGTTACCTTCCACTTTCCTGACACCATTTTGTTGGAAGCCACCATCTGCCCATTTCAGTGCTTGTTTATTTGTCCACTTCCCTGACTCATGACCCAGATGTTTTGCATACACCTACAGAGCACATAACCATATCTATTATGGAAAGATCAAAAGCACACAGCAAATAATCCAAGTGCACAGGGTGGCTACATTTTCAACTTACCCTGGACTGTTGCTACAAAACAGTGAGACCATATAAAGACTATATGTGGATGTTATATATAGAGGAATGTCTATTGGATTTTAAGAAAAACCATATCAATTCTGAGATCTAACATCACCCTAGACAGCAAAAGCAATTGACAGAGTGTAGGTTCTGCTTAAATCTCTAGAACACTGAATGTATTAGTGACTGAAGTGCCAGGCAAGCAGTCACTTGGCTATAATTTAATTTCTAGAATAAACATTACAAATTTTATCTTTATTGTCATTTCCAGAAAGACTTGTCTGGTCTTCCCAAAACCCCAGTGCATTGAGAACAGTAAAATAACGCTCATAAAGGTAATTTTATTCATACAGATATGTCATATAATAAAGGCAGAGAGTGGAAGTGAGTATAACTTTATACATCAGAAATATGCACCAAATGTAGCTAAATGAGTAAATTTATAGACTAACGAAAATAAAAGGAATTTTAAATTTGAGATGCAGAATTTGAATCACTTGTTTACTCATTTTTATCTCTAATCCAAACCAAAATCATTCACAATCTCCTTTATTTTGAAATGTCATTAAAGCCACATTCTATTACATGTTTCAGCTTTACATGGCCATCTCCAGGAAATGGTTATCCAACAGAAACTGCTGCACTGCATCATTTCATATGTCAATGCATCCCATGCTATTGAACATCTTCCTTTACATTAAAATGTGTCTGAGAATAAACAACTTCACTCCACATTATTTTCACTTTCTGGCATCCATGTTGTACCCCCTACATTAGTTCTCATTAATTGGCCATGTCCCTTAATGGCATTTTAAAGTATAGGAAAGATTGTGAACGTTTTGGGATCGCATTAGAAATGGAAATGAGTGAACAATCAATGCAAAAGAATGGTGAAATATAATAGAATTTGAAGTTTGGTACTACATTCCCCCTCTACTACAGCTGGGCTACTGACATTTTGCATTAATTGAACATTAATTTAGCTCATATACATACCTGAGGTATGTGATTTCAAACTGCATTATTACTTATTTGGCACAACTTGCAATGTGAAAATTATCTAAAATGTACAGCTAAGGAAATTGTTCCATAAACTTATCAAATTTCTTACCTTTATAGCCTGTACTACTGCTGACTCATATATTTTACCTTTTCTGGTAGAGTCAAAGTATAGACTGTAACGATCCTTGAAGTGTTGCACCCATTTACTTTGTACCTGTAATAAACAAATTTACCAAAATATGCTCAACATTCAGTTGTTAGTAAATAGTTTAAAATTAATTTTAAATATTCATAGACTGCATTAGAATTTTCCCACTCAAGAACATTATAATCATCCAGCAGCAACTCTTACTAATCCTATATGGCAGGAAGACACAATGATTTTCATAGGGAAGTGGAGAGCAGACAACTTGATTTCTTTACAGTAAATGATAATACATAGCATCTTGTGCAGAAAAAGTTTAAGATTGACTCTGGCCTAGCGCAAGAGACATTGTAAAGTATTTGCAAATACCTTCATTGTGTGATACAAGTGGTTTCAACCAAAATAATCAGAATAAAAATTATAGTATTTACATGGATGAAACACAAAGAAACAAATATTGATTCTTAGAAGCCAACAAGCAAGCAAGATTTGAATGTAACAGGATCTTTGCCAACCTAAACACTGGTACAATGACAAAACAAACTATCAATTAGTTACTCTGATATGCATGCTTGTAATACAGCTGGCTACTGTTCAGGCGTAGAGGAAACCTGACAGCAGCATAGAGCAGATGGAATGTCTCTCCATGACTTCTGTGCCTTTCCCACTAGCGAGAGTGCAGTCGTGTCACTGATTCCCTCACATCAGTTTCTGTACATGCACACATTTATAACACTGTAAAAAGATAACATAAACTTACCATGCTTTATAACAAGTGGTGAAGGTGACCCCCTTCTACATGCAAAACATGCCTCACATCACATAAATTATGCAAAACTTTCTGAAGTTGGTCAATAGTAATTCAACCAATTACATGTGTTATTTAATTCTGCAAAGCTTTAGTGCTGCAAGGATTATTCTTGTAGACTTTTCCCTTTAGGTTTCCCCAAAGATAAAAATTGCAAAAACTGAGATCTGTGGATCTGGGAGGCCACAGTCCTCTGCTGATTATACTGTCTTCAAACACTTCCTGTATTGTGACCATGGCTGCATTAGCCCTATACGCTGTAGAGCTGTCTTGCTGAAAATACCCATATTGTCCTTTGGTGGTCAGCTGATTTAAGAACGGATTCAGTATATCATTAATGTAGCAGTCAGAATTCATGGTTTCGTGCAAAAATAAGGGGCCAATGATTTGCTGCGGACTTACAGCACAACACACCCCCACCTTTTCACTATGTAATGGCACTTGCTATATAGCGTGATGATTTTCATCGCTCCATATTCTTATATTTCGTGCACTGACATGGCCACTAACACAAAACCACGCTTCATCATTCATGAACAGAAGCTGTGGATCCACGATTCCATCGTGCACATTTTGCAGCAGCCAGCTGCAAAAACGAATTCTTGCTGCACAATCTGGTTGTTTCAGCTCATGTACAACTGTTATTTTATATGGGAGAAATTTGAAATTTTGTGGCTGTGAAAGCAGATCCTAGCGAAACACCAGTTTCCTGTGCTAAGCATCTTCACGATTTTCAAGGACGAATCTGTAGTCATGCCTCAATATCCTGAACCTTCAGTCAGCACAATCCTCTTCCATCGCTTCTTTATGTCACACACTGAAACTGTGGCCCGCCACTTTTTCACAAGTTTGGATATACACAACTTTGTGAGAACTGGCGAGTCAGGTTATTTATGATGAAACTTGTGGATACATATTCTGTAAGTTTCTTCTTGCAAAAGTTTTGACAATAAACACACATTGTTCAATAGTGAACTTCATTTCGGTATAAACATCGACACCTATCGACACCTCTAACACAGACTATTATGCAACTTACTGTAGTGAAAAGATCAGACCACCTGATGACACATGTTTATCAGTGCTAATGACTCATTCTGCTATCAGCAGTTACAGCAGAAATCTGTGAGAAATGTGTCCACTCTACGATGCTGCCAGATTTTCTCTATCACTGAACACATTACATTACACGCTACAGTAAGTTAGATGTGACCTTGCATAAAAATAACATGAAGTGAATACTGCTAGCTTCATTTCCATCACAAATACGAAAACTTATTCCAAAATTTCTCTCATGCTGTATCATTTAGGTGTGTGCATGCCAGAGATCGCAGTGGGACATACATGATACAAATTCAAATACCTTCAGTTAATTAGATCAAAATCATCTGTAGGAATAATATTAAAAACGAATTTTAGATTTTAAAAATGACCCTCACAAGTGAGCTTTAAAGGTTTTAAGCTGAGATTAAGAGTTACAGTACATTGGGTAGAATACATGCTTTGTGTTTAGAAGCTCCCTTGTTCCTGTCGTGAGACCAGCCACAATGGTTGAGGTTTTTCTTGGTTTATCAGTCCCTCTTGAAAAACTTCTGAATGGTATTATAAAACAAGTCTTTTGCATAAACCTTTTCTGATCTCTACTAATTAGTATCCTGAGATTTCTCATGCAATTCTACATAACCTTAATAACTAACATGGTCTCACTAAACTTTTGGTTATTCCTGAGAAGATATCTTGCTCACTGTACAAATACAATGCATCAAGCACAAAGACATTGTATTCTGCTTAGAGATTTGTTATTTACATGCTCAAGATCCAAAATATTGCATATCAGTACCTTTGTAACTGAACATTCTTTGTTTAATTCTTTCATTATGTTGCGCATTCATATGATAGATTAAATTATAAGGCATTATTTACATTACAAATTGGACTATAACTCAAACAAGCTTGTTTGTAATGCATTATTAGTGGTTTATGCAAAGGAGCAGAGGAGGTACAGTTTATACTGACTAGTGTTTAGAACTCTACTACTGGCTGAACAAAGATTGTCATTCATAGATGCTTCTGTGTGTTCAGAAGCCATGGATCCCTGGGACTTCTGTGGACACTTTTCATAATTTCTTCTGAGGGGAACTCCACTCGTCTCAACTTTCACTACCTCTGCCATGGACAAAACCATATTATGACTTTCACATTTTGTGCATCAGTAGAACTTCAATAAATTTCAAATTCAGTAAATCCTGTCTGATCAGCTACGCCTAGTATATCCATGAACTTATAACTAGCATTCTGAAGCCGCTCAGGGGATCGTGACACTCTGTGGGGCTGGCCGCTCTTCAGGATAGAATGATTAGTTTCACAATTGAAGAACATTATGTGAAATGAAAGATAGATTTTTACCATTTTGGTAAGTAAAGCTATCCCTGTAACAGGCCATGAAGGCCCATAGGGTTGTGAGACATTGAGGGTCCCACATTATCTAGATAATCGGCTCAAAGATGGCAGTAAGGTTGTCAGTCTTACGCGCCGGCCTCGCTTTACTCCCCAGGAAAATTATTTAATTAATTCCTAGTACTCATTTCTGTTAGAGACTGAGTCAACCCCAGGGCCATAGTGCAGCTGGAAGGATTAGGTCAACTGAAAAAATCCAATGACCTCATCGGGGTTTGAACCCGCGACCTTCTGGCTTGTAGCATACTGCATCAACCAACTACACTACCGCATGCCCCACAATTTTGGTAGTTATGGGAAACATTCAACATTCCTGGAATTAGTTACTGAAATAACATACAAAGAAACATTAAAAATGTATTCCTAACAATTTAGAGTTAAATAAAGCAATAAACACTTCACTGTGAGGTATTACAGTTAACACAAATGTTACCATATGTACTGATTTTAAAATTTATATATTATTTGTGTTCAAGTCATATTTAACAAAATTCAGATGACTAGTACCACCTCAGATCAACCGACCAAGCGACCGCCGCTTGTCGGCGAAATTTAGTGCCAACTATAGTTCGCTTGCATACTAAAATCATGGAGTTTTCTTTTTTTGTTTGGTACCACCTCAGAACCTAAACTGAATTCTTTGAAACTCCACGTGAAATTGTCATTCCATGCTGGACTTAAGTTAGGTGGAGTCATGAGTGTTTTGAATAATATGAATATTTACATACAGAACTGATTATTTAGTGCAACTCAAACTTTTTGTTAATATTTTATTGCAAGAGGACAACATCCTTGCTGGATGGAAAGTTATTTAAAACATTGTAGTAACTGTAATTGTTATACATTGTTGAAAGAACAAATTATGCCTGGAAATTAGAAATGTGGAGAAGTGATCATTGTCTGTTTCAAGTGGTGATCCCAGCATTTTCCTGGAGTAACTGGGTAATGCCATGAAAAATATTCCAGGGTAGCAATTGCTTGTACCAATATTCAAACCACCAGGTGCCACCTGAACACAAATCAGACACAGTGCCACCTTGCTAGACTAAGGTAATAATATAGGCAAAGAAAGAAGAAATATACATTTGACACCATTCAATATGTTTCACATGTAGCTACTCAATGTTTACCCACATCTTTTCAAAGAAGTTTTGAGAGTTAACTCAAAAGAAACCAATACTGTTTTCTCTTTGTGGAACAAAGCAAGCTTCTCTACACATTTCTGTGAAAATTTCCCAGTTGTAATTTTTCAGTTTATGCAGAATTACATGCAAAATTACCTTAGATACACGGCGATCTTCTAGCCAAAAGACCCACTTGTGGTCAGATGAGATATCTGGCATGCCACAGTCCTGCCCATCAACTGTTATGCCTGTCAGAGCAAAAATACGTTATTAGTAAGTTAGATGAGACCATTTAAATGTTAACTCAGCTTTTATTTCATCATTCATTGGTTCTCAATGAATATTCTTCTCCAAACAGTAACTTTTCTCATTAAAATTCATCAATGAAATCTTCGTAGAAAAAATTAAAATTACTGTCACATTCTCCAAATTGGTCAACTCTGCCCCTTTACTACATGCTCAATACAATACAAAATAGTATATAAAAATCTTCGTTACTGCACTTAAGATGCTAAAAGGGAACAAATAAAGAGTATTACATTGCTGTTACATTTCTTACATCTCTTGAGAGGTCACCAAGCAAGTTTGTGTAATGGTAACACTAGAGACTTGTTTGGGAGGTGCTCAGTTCAGTTCTCAGTCAGAACACCAACTATCCTGGGTGAGGATTTTCATGGTTTTCCACGATTATTTCAGACAAATTCAGGATTAGTAACTTGACTGAAACTTGATTGAGTTGCAACAACTTTCTTCTAGTTCATTACTCACTGCCGGTCACCCTTTCATTCAATGCTATATAATCACACACCTGGCCACCAGGGCTGCCCAGGAATTCTTCCCCATACAAGGGATCCTACTGGCCCATCAAATGGTTCTCCTGAGGTTGGTAACCTCTGTATTGCTGTCTTCTTCCACTTGTTCCTCATAGGAGCCATATTGATGTAACTAAAAAACAAAACAAACTGAAATGTAATTCTCATGGTTTAGCTCAGACACTAGAGTGATGTTAAAATAGGCTATTATCAGTTCTACGTCCCTTCAGATTCAGTATTCATAACCCACACCTTATATCATCTGCTGTGGTACATAATTAAGAAGTAATGGACCACATATAAAAGGCAGCCTAAGCATAGAGCTAAAAGTTAACAGTGAGAAGTCCAATGCACTTCATTTTTTGAACAATTTCCTGTAATGTCACAGCTTGTGATGTTTGAATATGTTTTGATCACATGTTTAAAGCGAACAATGAATTTCCAGATTTGATCATAGTGCTACAAATGACAATCACTTTGTTTTCCCTATCAAATAAGTTTTCAAAAACATAGAAACATGCTGATTTATTGACTAACTTCTAACTTCATGGAGCTGATCCCTTCTCAAGAAGCCACCAATTGTGCAGCTACTCAAGAACTTACTACAAGAGCCCTCCATTGGTCCCTCTTCTAAGCCAGATCAATCCAATCCGTACCACCTCATCCTAAGACCAATTTTAATATTATCTGCCCACCTATGTCTTGGTCTTCCTAGTGGTTTCTTTCCTTCTGGTTTTCCCACCAATATCGTGTATGCATTCCTCTTCTCTTCCCTTCGTGCTAATGCCCTGCCTATCTCATCCTTCTTGAATTGATCATTCTAATTATATTTGGCGAAGAGTACAACTTATGAAGCCCCTAAGTATGCAGTTTTCTCCAACCTCCTGTCACTTCATCCCTCTTCAGTCCAAATATTCTCCTCAGCACCCTGCTCTCAAACACTATTGGTCTATGTTCTTCCGTTAATGTCAGAGACCAAGTTTCACACCAATACAGAACCACAGGCAAAAAGTATAGTTTTGTTAAGTTCTAGCTTTTGCTTTTAGACAGCAGACAAGACAAAAGGATCTGGATGGAATGGTAGAAAACATTTCCCAAATTCAATCTCCTCTTAATTTGCTCCTGAATCAAGTTTTTACTTATGTCTCTTTTGCAGAAATTTTGATATTCTCTCTAATATTTTCTCAAACTTTAACATCAACCTCAGTGGAGACTGAAACAGAACCTCTCCATATTAACTCTGTTCGTTCACTCACTGCCAATCTCTCCCTAATTTCTGCACCACAGATAGTGGTCAATATCACAATCTGCTGCCTTGAACGACTGATCAGGCATCAGGTATACTTGAATGCTGTCTTCTATCAATCAAATATGGTCAATTTGTGCTTCTTTCCAGCAGATGTCCAAGTAAATTTGTGATTTTTACAGTGCAGGAACATTATCCTTTTGATAATAAGATTTCTGGATGATTTACTGACTAGTTTTTTTATTACTTTTAGATTTAATGGACACCTACAATTTTCCAGTGGTAAGATTTGGCCTGAGCCAAAGAAAACAGGCACATGAGATTCCCCTCCATGGTGTTCATAGTACACTGCCATGTATGTTATTATAGAAGGTATAGCCATCCAGAAGCATTGCAAAGAAGGGCCAACAACAAGCAACATGGATTGTGATAAATGACTATCTTGACTCCACCCACTGTTTCCCTAGCAGTCCATGCAGGACAGGACGCTGAGTTATCTGCCTCTGTCCACTATTCCCTCAGCAGTACACACTTGGACAGCTCAGTGAATATTCTGTGGGTACAAATACAAGTGATACTCATGATAGGAATGGAGTCTCCACAACAGTGGATACTAACTCCATACTGACACAGCTGACTGCACAAGAAGACTTCATTGTAAATTTGAATTTCATTTAATGCCCCTCAAACAAATGTTCTGGGTGAACAACTACTGCAGACTTGTGCACTGAATAAACAGTACTTTGTCTATATCATAATGGTTATTTTATCTATAGTATAAGACATGTGATATTTGGGATAACTGCCCATTTCAAGAAAATAAAATAAAAGGTCCATACTGTGCACTGAGGGCACGTGGTAGCGCAGTTGATAGAGGCACTATGTTACAAGCCTGAAGGTCGTCAGTTCGAGTCCCGATGAGGTGGATATTTCAATTTAGCTAATTCTTCCAGCCTCATTAGGTCCCTGGGGTCGACTCAGCCTCTAACAGAAATGACTACCAGGAATCTTCCTGGGTGGTAAAGGGCTGACAACCTTACTGCCATCTTTGAGCCAATTGCCTAGAATATAGGCAATTGGCTCAAAGATGGCAGTAAGGTTGTCAGCCCTAGGCCCTAGATAATGTGGGAACATCAACATCTCACAACCCTATGGGCATCCATGGCCTGTTACAGGGATAGCTTTACTTTTTTCTTTACCCTACTGTGCACCTGGCCAAGGTTTGTTTAAAGCCTCAACTGAGAACTGAAGATGTGTGATGTATATTTCACGGGAACTGATAACTACAAAATATTGGCATAGAACAAACTGAGAGGCAAATCAATGTACTCAAAGAAAGCCCTTGAACTCAAGAATCCAATGTAAATTACGGACTACTATGTAACTGCATCCAGTCTTCTGTAGTGGGAACCAGTCACATAAAGCTGGAACTAAGAAACATCATTATTCCACAGAACTACTTTTGTTACGTTGTCACCACTGTTAATGTCATCATTATTCTTAGTCGTTATTAAATTGATGGAAGTCTATGTACAATCAACTTAAAGAGACTTCAAAGTTACAACATGTAACTATATGTAGACATGAAACTACTTACAAAGATAGGGTAATGAGTATTCATACTATTCATTAAACTCCTCAGGCATTTCTAGTGTACATGCAAAAAAATGAGATGCACATAGAGATGAGTTAAGGTGTACAGTTCACAATATGACAATGGTTTGGTATACATCATTATTCACATTACATCCCATGAAGCACGGTATGCAGTTCCTTTAACGAGCTCCGAATATGACACAGATCTCTATAATCAGAACGAGTTTAGGAATTTGACTCATCTTAATATGAAGGTGAAACCAACAAATAAAAACGTAGGAACCACAACACAGTTCGTCTCAGGGGCACGCTTTTCTTCTTTCATGTATGTACTTTAATACCTTGTATATAACTGTCCTCTTGAAAGTAGGAATTTCATTCAGAATTCTGCCAGTTTCAGATATTCATTGAAGTAAAACCACACTTTTCTCCTAACGGCAGCTTTGACCAACTTCACCAGTCTTTTATTACGGTTTCCCTCTTCAGTTTCTTTTTGATGCCTGAACCAGACTGGTATATTTATGCTCCTTTAAAATTCTGAATGCACAATTTGTTGCCAATCTCAATGAAGATGATACTTTTTCTGCTGATATTGCTTCAAACAGTCTTATTCGTACACCCATCTTTAATTACAGTTATTCAACTTCAAGGAATTATTTCCTTCAGGCACATCTTTTTGCTGGATGTAGCCTACAATAATCTGATGGTTTCCAGACATGTTGAAGAAAAGAATATAATCACAGAAGAAGTTATTTGAACTGGTACATAATATGAAGCTTGTCTTCTATAACGCCACCGATATTTGATTTATGTCCGCTAAGTAAACATTTTAAATAGACGAAAATTATGACGGCGAAACATACCTATAGGAAAAAGGACCCGACAGAACCAGATGACAACATGCATAACGCTTGTTCGTTTTGAAAATACTGCCATTTTAAATTCCGCTGACCTTTGGCCTTTGGTATTTTCATGCTTGAGCGTTGAATATAAACCTCAGCCGCTACTACTGGTAAATATCAGTCACTGAAAAAACTGTTTTATGGCAAATAGAACCTCCCTTCTGACCAGTCACCAAATTCTCCAATGTTAACTCCATGGTGCATAGTTCTTGTGGACCTAATGGCCGCTCATTTAATCAAGAAATGTCCTTCCGTGTGTGGAGCCAGAAGGTTCATTATTGTGTTCACGAAAGCCCTAACCGGCCAAGTCGACCCGACCTCTCGACTTCAGGCGTCGTCAGCTGAAGTAGGCAACTCTGCCGGTAACTTTCGACTAAGGTCGAATTAACGGGGAAAAACACCTGCCATGCATCATACAAGCTGCAATGATTCCTTTTATACTTCACCAATTCACACTTTTTAACAATGAATTACTTAAGCCGCATAAGCAATGTCGCGTAATGTAATGTTCAATTTCTGGCTCGCGTCAATTTAATCAATACATGGGTATTAATTTATTACAATTTGTCCGAGTAGCCACACATGTACTGACTTATGAAAGAGATAAAAAAAAACAGGGAGATGACTTGTACCAGCACGAATGAGCCCTCCAAGAAGTGGTGCCAGACGCTAACACAAGTCCTTCATTGCCTATTGGCTAGATTCAAACAGTTCTTCGTATGTATGCATTCTTATTGGTTAAACCAAAAACCACGTTATCCTATGTAATGGAATTCCACATCAGGAAGCCATCAGCCTCATGATTTACACAGACCGCCTGGACCCCTCTGGACCAGAATTCCGGTGAGAGAAATTGCTTCATGCTCAGATTTCTGGCTCCACCCCCACAAAAGAAATCTAAGCTCCAAATCAAAATTTAAGCTAATGGCTTAAACATACATCTAATTCTAAACGGTTACGCCCTATATCTTTCTTCGTTAAATATTCATCACTGTTTAATCGAAAAAAAAATCTAAAATCAACATGGCCGGTGAAATGCGCTTCCGTGGAGAGCATGCTGCAGATATAATTGCACTTTCTAGTGTCTCATGCAAATACATATTTACTAGTAAACAGTATATTACACATTATCTGGCAACATAAATTCCTAAGATTTAAAGGCCTACGCAACATACCTCGTTCCTCAGATGACAGTTGGAACATAAAGGGGCCAGCTAGTCTTCCTCCAGACTTTTTCTCAGCAGACGCTCTTCTACACTCCTCCTACACCAGCCCTTCATTGGAGGAGCTCGGAAGCCTGACCACGCCCCCAAAAGCGGTGGCGAACACAGTAGTGAAAAGGAGTCGTGAGCCTCTAGCCGAAAAAAAAAAAAAATCTCAATGAAATCTACAGCTGTAGGATTTGAAGTTCTCACAGCGCCTCTAATGAAAAATTCGATCATCTAGGTCATAACTTCTAGGTCTCCAACTTCTGGGTCGAAAAATAAGTGAAGCAATAAACCAACGTATTCAGTATTCAGTATTAGAGGGGGTGAGTTTCCCCATGCACCCCGACTAGTAGTCAATTGTACGTCCCCCTTTAATTTCTACTGTCGCCATACCCTACCGGTACTAGCGCTCGCTATCTCCCCTTTCTGCCAGCGAGGTCGGCCCTCTACTAGCAGTGGTACCCGATAACTTCCCCATCTACCGGAGGCATTTGAAACTACTTGGGCGGGAAACTTTTTGCCTAATTTTGCTCAGAGATCTCCTAGAACATGAGGATCTTTTACGTGCCGTAAATCTACAACACGCGACCCACGGCTTAAAGTCCCTCCCGGAGGACTTGTTCCCTGAATTTTTCCGCCCTTAAAAATTCCACGACCTCCGCCGGGTTTGAACCCGCGTACCTTGAGTCATGAGGTGGGAACGTTATCCCTAGACTACGGAGGCCGCTTCCTTTTTCCTTGGTACTACAGCCCCCGTGGGCCTAGGCCTACCTCCATGAACTACGTTCACTTCGGTTTTTCTAGATCTTACACATACGGTAGGACTCCTTGGGCGAGTGATCAGCTCGTCGCAAGGCCTCTACCTGTAGACAAACACAGAAAAACGCACACAAACATCCATGCCCTGAGTGGGATTCGAACCCACGATCTCGGCCTCCGAGCGAGCGAAGACAGTGCATGCCTTAGACCTATGACTTTCAACTGACTACACGGCATTATGCACGTTGGTGTGTATTACAAAACTATACAGCATCACCTTGCTTGCTGGCTGCTTCATGCTGGTTTCTCGACTGGCATACTCTTTAGCCCTGAAAATGTAGGTGACATGTTCCTGCGAAAAGTTGCTTAACTTTCAACGGACTTCATGGCTCTATATCCCAGATGACAGAATCCTGTATAAAAACCGGGGAAACCCCCTAACGAACTCACCTCCTATCGACCAATTAGCCTATTACCCATCCTATCCAAAGTCTATGAGAAACTTCTCCTAAGTCGCCTCCTTCCAATAGTCGAAACAAACAGCTTGCTACCTAACCACCAGTTCGGATTCCGCCAACGGCACTCCACGATTCACCAAACACACCGTTTAGTTCACAGAATCAACGAAGCACTGGAAGCCAAGGAATTCTGCTCTGCGGCTTTTCTCGACATCTCGCAAGCCTTTGATAAAGTATGGCACCCAGGACTTCTTTATAAGCTCCGACAGTCCCTTCCACTCAACTACTATCTCACCCTCAAATCCTATTTACACAACAGATTCTTCCAAGTCAAAATAAAAGAATCTTATACTAACCTCCACCCCATCAATGCAGGAGTGCCCCAAGGGAGTGTACTTGGCCCACTGCTCTACCTCCTTTTCACCGCCGACCTACCAACATCCCATGACTCCATCACTGCCACCTTCGCAGATGACACTGCGATCCTAGCGTCAGACCCCAATCCAACTGTAGCCTCACAAAAACTGCAAAACAACCTACAAGCAATCCATGAGTGGCTAACCAAATGGCGCCTAAAAGTCAACAGCATGAAGTCAACACACGTCACATTCACCACCCGAAGTCAAACATGTCCCAAGGTCAATATCAACAATGAGGATCTCCCACAATCAGATGATGTCAAGTACCTCGGTCTACATCTGGACAGACGCCTCACTTGGCACAAGCATATCTTTACCAAAAGAAAACAACTTGGCCTCACACTTTCCAAAATGTACTGGCTTATAGGCCGAAAGTCCAGTCTCTCAATACACAACAAACTTCTGGCATACAAGGTCATCCTCAAGCCCATCTGGACCTACGGATTACAACTCTGGGGGACAGCATCCAACTCCAACATAGAAATACTGGAACGCTTCCAGTCAAAAGTACTGCGCCTAATAACCAACGCGCCATGGTACGTCCCAAATTCGATCATCAGGCGTGATCTTCAAATCAACACAATCAAGGAAGAGATCAGCCAATGGAGCTCCCAATATAGAGCTCGACTACATACACACCCCAACGAACTTGCAGCTCAACTACTACAACCACCAGACCTAAGGCGCCTCAAACGACACCAGCCAATCGATCTGATCACCAGATTCAAAATATAATCTTAGTTAGTAGTTTAGTTTTAAGTGTAGCTTAAGTTCCTCCCCTTCTCCCACCAGGCCCCAACCCAACTAATGAGCTCCCCTCCACACGTCATTTCACACAACTCACAACAATTTGCTAAATGTATTCATACAGATTGCAAATAAATGGGGAACTCAAAAAAAAAAATCCTGTGTACAGAGTCACATACCAGAAGACCATAACCTTAAAATGATACTGCTTACACAGATCAGTTATTTATTTTGCCTGTGCATAATGTTGAAACTATTAAAGGCAATGCCCGACTGTTGATGTGTCATGTTTTAGTCTTTAGAAGAATTCAACGTCAGATTGTACTCGTACAGTTAAACGCACTTTACCCTTCATCATATGAAAATAAACCCAAAAGGTAATACTAAAGCAACACCAAGAAAGAGCCTTAGAATGAGGGGAACTAGTAACACATATACGAAGATTAGCCTTCTTGTATGTCACGCCATGTGGTTTGTCACTACGCGGTATCAGATCCCAGAAGAAATTCTTGTCAACCCGGCCATCAGTATACCATGGTCCCTATCCTGAGCCAGATCAATCCAATCCATACCATCCCATCCTATCTAAGATCCATTTTAACATTGTCCACCAACCTACGCCTTGGTCTTCCCAGTGGTCTCTTTCCATCTGGCTTTCCCACCAATATCCTATATGCATTCCTCTTCTCCTCCATTCGTGCTACATGCCCTGCCCATCTCATCCTCCTTGACTTGATCATTCTAATTATACTTGGAGAATACAAGTTATGAATAGAGGCCTAAATTACAACATATTATATTTTAGTAGTATTATGACCGCGCCATAGCTCAAGCGGTTAGTCGCTGGCTTCCAACCGCGGCGGCCCAGGTTCGATCCCGGGTCTGGTCAAGTGGGATTTGTGGTGGACACAGTGGCGCTGGGGCGGGTTTTCTCAGAGTACCTCGGTTTCCGCTGCCAATCGTCATTCCACCAAATTCTCCATCATCATAATCACCCGGGGCAGGTACAATAGGCCACTCAGTGGCCGCCCTGCCGAGTGGACTCAGCTGGGCTCCACCCCCCTAAGCGAATTTTTGTTATAGTGTTACGCATATTCATTGCACTGTACT